AACAATTTCTACGCTAATAATTACCGCTCTTTTCCTCCTCTTTCTTATGGAAGTCCTCAATGAGTGTATCGAAGAGAACGATGCGTTTGTTTTTGTGGAACCCATAGAAGTAGGCGTTTGAATGGGAGATGAGGGAACCGATCAACACGAACGCCAACGTCTGTAGGATCTCGTGGTCGCCGGCAGTATAGCCCACGCGACCGATCAGTCGTCCCGAATAGCGCCACAACAGTGGTATGGCTTCTGTCCAGAGGATCGCCTGAAGAGTGGGTCATAATTAGCGATACATTTAATGGTAGTCTCTCTCAGACTCAACACATCCCAAGACATACAGTGTTCAGCAATTGGTTCCAAATGAAGGCGTAAAACCCGAAACAACTCTTATCGATGTTATAATCTCTGGCTTTGATGAGTGTCTCCGTGTCTAAGACGCCGATCAGTTCTGTGGGCACTTCCGTCACACTCTTGTAGATCTTGTACTGTAAGTCATGGCATCAATGAGAAGGCAATCATCGAAACGAATGGCACGAGTGGTGGACATACCTGTCGTCGCGAGAGAGAGATCCCACGCGAAGACAATCCACGTGAAGATGAGGACAGAGATGAAGATGTTTGCGGGCGTCCAGCAGGTGGTGACCAAGTCGTGGACCAGTTGGTGGCCGAAGCCGTCGCTCAGGAGGGCGTGTCGTGTGGCCGAAGACATGGCTTCGATGTCTGTGTCTGTGGGATGTGTTGCGGTGATCGGCGCTCAAGAGATGTGTCAATGAAATGGCAAATCATTCACTGGTTTTGACACATGTTTTGTAAACTTAACACAAAAGGCGCCCAAAAATAACGTGACGTTTGGCTCCCATTTGACACATCATTGATGCCGTTATTGGCGTTCACTTCACGTCAGTTGACAATACACTGCACTCAGAGACTCGTCTCCATTATCACTGCAACGGATCCACTTGTCTATCAATTTTGTGACTTTTCTCTCACCGGTAAGCGTTTGTGTCTATTCTTGTGTCTCTATCGTGTGTTAGTGTTGACACATATCTACTGAAGACATGAGTCGGCGAAGAGCTCGCAAACTCTCGGATCATAATTCTCTCCTAAAAGCCGTTCTCTTGCGAAGCCAATCAAATCACACCAGAAGAATGTCTTCCGCGGGCTCGTCATCCATGCGACGTCTGGACGACGACGACATGCAACTGTTCCGTCACTTAAGGGACACACTGCAGGGCCTCGACTACTTGGGCGCGCAGTAAGTGACACCCACTCCACCCCCTCTGCCACCCCTCCCCTCCGCCACCACATTATCACTAATAACGCGTTGATGTTGATTTGACCTACGTTGATTTGACCTACAATACCTATAATGTTAAAATCTTACCCAATCTATAGCGGTTCCGACCATCATATCATTGCATGTGATATATGGTTGGAATCAGCTCAATGAGTAGATTAAGAAATTATCATCTTGAGTTGAATTAAATAGAATTATCTTCTT